CACGGGCGCGGTGCTTCGCAGACTTGGAGCCGAGCCTGCCGCGGGACGAGCTCCCGGCACCGGCCCAGGGTCCCCTTTTCGGGACGGGGGACAGACGGGCTGGTTCGGGTGAGTTATGGAAACAGTCGGAGTTCTGGAAATCCCGGTTGGTTTGGCCGATCCTGGCCCGAGCCACAGCTGCCTGCAGTGCTGCAGCACCCCCAGCCCCGGAGTTCCCCTCCAAAACCCACCGGAGGCTCACGCCGGGAATGCCAGTTTGTGTCAGGTTATATCAGGTTGTGGTCAGGTTTATGCCAGGCACATTGGAGATGTGTCCGTAAGACAGGTGAGGTGCTCTCAGAACTGCTGTGTTGGCAGAGGTGTGATCTGCAGGTTGCTGTGTGTGAGCTTTGCTTTACAAAGTTCAGAGCTGTTGTCTTCAAATTTCCTCACTGGCATCTCACAGGAATGCAAAAGCTCTGAGTTGTGATGTGTTTACTTGGTGGTGGAAGGTCTACTCGGCCGGGGGGGCATTGGGCAGGTGTCTGACACCCCTAATCCACAGGGACCCTCAGCCATGTGGGTCCTGATGACCCTGAGGACACTTCTGAGTTGGCAGGAGCTGAGGTGTTTCCCTGCTGAGCTGTGGGAAGTGAGATGCTAGATGCCCAAGGAGAGAAGCATAAACCAAATGTTTGTTCCCACCACTTCCAGGTGTGCTCTCCTCTCTCAAATGGTTTGGCATCTACCAAGGATGTGGTTTCCTGCTCAGAGGGGCTTGTAATGCCCCATTTCCCTAATTTTCTAGCTCCTTTCTCCAAATCCTTGGTGGTTATTATACACCAGCATTCCCTGCACTGAGATGGAGTTAAGCACTTTGTTGCTGACTCTGGTATACAGCTCTGGGGTTCTGAAAGCTTCACTGGGACCCTTATGACTACAAGGAGGAGCCACTGACATGCTGGAGTTGATGCCAGATCTCAGCTAATGTCATTAGTGGATTTATATATAATGTTTTCAAGCATTTGATCCTTCTTATTGGTTTTGTTTACATGTGGGATGTTTTCCAGAAGTGCTTCTGAGCAAGTGAAATTGCTCTGTGATAATCTTGTTTGTGGACGTGCTCATTCCATTTCTCTGTTAGCTTAATGTGCTCTTAAGTTTCAATAATGGTGGGAAGAAATGTCCATGGGAGATTATTTAGGACTAGCCATAGCACTTTGTGTTTTGTCACAGTACTTTAATCTGAACAAACCCCAACTTACAGGGCAGCACTTGGTGAAAGTAGTGAAGCTTTCTGTGAAACTGTTTTAATTCCTACTGTTTTCACCGTAGTACAGTCATGTCTGTGTGTGGTTGGTGTGTTCCAACTTCAGGGTACTGCCAGGAGAGCTTCTTCCATGAGAAGTTACTTTGGTGATGTTTGATTTTTGAAACTGAACCTTAACTAAAGATTTCTTTCCAGGTTGAATATAGAGTCTATAAATTCCTTCTGGGTGTCCCTTTAAAACGTTCCTTGTTTCTCCACCTGATTCTCCTGATGGAAGACCAGCTGGGGCTCCCTCTTTGCAGTTCATGCTGAATAGTTGCTTGGAGAGGTGGTGCATGAGCAGAGATACACCTGGTGATGGTAAGATGTGAGATGACATTTCAAGGCTGATGGTTTTCTGTAGCCTCCTGTGAAGGCTCAGGCACATGTTGATGGGCTCTGGGCCAAGGAGTGCAAATGTGGAAAAGTGCAGCTGATTTGGTTTTGTTGCAATACAGTGTTCCTAGTCTGGAACAGCTGGTAGAAATTCCAATTCCTACACACAGCTCCATAGGGAAAGCCAGAAGTGCCACTTGGTGCCTGAAGGTGTCAAATGAAGCTAAACTGAGTCAGGATGTTAAAAGCTCACCTTGGTTTCTCAGGGTTTGGATGATGAGGGACTTGCTGACTAAAAGCTTCTCTGGTTAAGTGAATATCTTCCTTTTAGCAGGGGATGCAGCGAGTTCAGTGGTAAAATGCACCTTAGAACCAGTGTGTCTCTGGCTCCACATTCCCTGCCTCTTCTGCCATTCCATGGAGCCATTCCCAGGAGCAAAGCAGTGAAAGGTTTTGGAGCCAAGTTCAATATAAAGAAATTCTTAGGAGTATTTGTTAAGAGAACAAGTTGCTGAGATACCTTGTGGGGCTTCTAGGGATAAAGTTCAAAAGTCTCATGTTTGGAGTGGCTGCTGTTGTCCAGAGTTGAGCAGATGAAATGAAATTAAGGAACATGCTCGACTTTCCTTGATTTGATTTTTATTAAGCAATTGTGCCTGGACATGAAGTCCTCCGCAAGTGCCTTCCAACCTCAGCCACTCTGTGACTTTGTAATTCGGTGCTCAGCTGGGAGCAGGAAATAAACTGTGTTTAATAAAAAGAGATACTGTGTGATTTCCACAGACACATCCGTTCTATCCGTGACTGTGTGTTTGTAGGCACCAGCCTCACTTGTGATGAAGGCAGCAGAGCTCTGTGTGTGCTCTGTAGTAAGAAAAGTGGAAATCCCAAATTCTTGGTCTGTGGTAACATGGCCCTATTGTTTTGGTTATTTTTTCCCATTTGAAACTTTACCACCTTGATTCCAATTTGTTTCTTTCTTCTCATTCTTTTCCTAAGGTTCAAATGTGGGAATTGCCCCAGATGTGGTTGCTGCTGCTGCTGCTGCTCCCCCGGGAACATGCCTTGATGGGGAATTAACACCAGTCAGTGATGGGCTGTGGGACAAGCAAAGTGCTTCCCGAGCCCCCCAAAGATGTGCAGCTAGACCTGGTTAAGAAAGTCGAACCTTACACAGGCCACAATGACATCTACAAGCATTTCATCAAAGATGACTGCGGGGCTGTCATCAAAGCTGGCTGTCCCTCCCCTCCGCACTACGCCCACCCGTGCCCCGGGAACGCGCTGCCTGCCCACGCGGCGCAGCCCGAGCCCCGCAAGAACAAAGTGGCTAAGTACCGCGCCAAGTTCGACCCCAGGGTGACGGCCAAGTACGACATCAAAGCCCTGATCGGGCGGGGCAGCTTCAGCCGTGTGGTGCGCGTGGAGCACAAGGCCACCAAGCAGCCTTACGCCATCAAGATGATCGAGACCAAGTACCGCGAGGGCAGGGAGGTGTGCGAGTCGGAGCTGAGCGTGCTGCGGCGCGTGCGCCACACCAACATCATCCAGCTCATCGAGGTGTTCGAGACGCAGGACCGCGTCTACATGGTCATGGAGCTGGCGACCGGCGGAGAGCTCTTCGACCGCATCATCGCCAAAGGCTCCTTCACCGAGAGGGATGCCACGCGGGTGCTGCAGATGGTGCTGGATGGGGTGAGGTACCTGCACACGCTGGGAATCACACACCGGGACTTAAAGCCGGAGAACCTGCTGTACTACCACCCGGGAACGGACTCCAAAATCATGATTACGGACTTTGGGCTGGCAAGCGCTCGGAAGAAGGGAGATGACTGCCTGATGAAAACCACGTGCGGCACCCCAGAGTACATTGCTCCCGAGATCCT